AGGGTTTGGGTCATGGCGTAGTTTTTACACCTGCCCGTGCTGCAAGGGAGCGGCCGTGCACTGACGGTGAGCCCTGGCACCGCAGCCCGTGGACGCGGTGATGAATGCAGCGCTCAGGCCCATGGTGGGTGGGCAGAACAGCAGGCCAGGTGGGCTTCCCTGCACGCTGCAGTCTCTCGTGTTGGAAAACATGGTTCAGAAACGTGGAGAAGCCCACCGTGGTTTGATTTTAATCATGGTAAGCCTGTTTGTGATACCGTTTACTAGATTACTTTTTAAATTCCACTCAGAAGTACTTTTATGATGACCACCGGCACCTGCGAGTCTCGGGCTTCTTTCTGAAGTAAAGTTCAGAAAAGCCACACAGGAGCCCCTTGCTGAAGACCGTCCCTGTTCACAACGGCGCGTTTCCCATCTCGCCCGTCCACAGGAGCTCCTGGGACACGCTGAAGATGCTGCTGAGTCCGAAAAGCCTTCCTCTGCGAAGAAAAAGGGGAGCATCGCCCCCCTTGCTGGAGGCCCCCCTTCGTCCTCAGAGACCAAGCCGTACCAGCCGAGGGTGCCCAGCCGGGTACTTTCTGACATCGAGGGATGGACTCCGAAAGTTTCTCCAAGGAAACGTAACATGAGCCTGGGACCCCCTCAAGTCACCTCATCTCCCAAGGGCAGCGTGGGGAACCCCATGTCAGAAATCAGTGAGTCTGTTTAAATGCAAGTGTGCTTTTCCCCAAAGCTGTGCACACCCACCTTCTCCCTAAATGTGAGGACGAGAGCAGAACAGAGCTCTGGTTTGCCACCGCCTCTGACCGGGTGGTGGCTGTGCACAGGGTGTGCTGGTCAGGAACCGAACCCAGAATCCCACCCCTGAACTTCCCGGGCCTCTAGAGACTAGGACCACAGGAGGAAAGGAGGGCTTGTCTGGGGATTTGAAGGTCAGGCCGCCGTGGGTGGGGTCAGGTGAGCTCCCGGGGAACCCTGCACTTAGGAGGCTCAGGGGGTTGCCGTCTACTCCCAGGCTGTCCTGCCCGCTCTCCCGGGGACCATCGAGTGGAACTGTGGCTAAGCCTCGCCATCCACGGGAGGTAGAGCCACCGCTCAGCTGGGTCAGTGTACAAGCCGTGCTGGTGATTATGGCTTGGCAGAGCCAACGTGTGCTCGGCTTCCGTCATGCGAGACACGTGCAATGGGCTGCCTTCACGTGCTCACCCGCCGTCCGTGTGTCCCTTCCTTCCTGAAGGTGAAAATAAGGAGGAGGAAGTTTCACTCAAGAGACGCAGGGTCTCCTTTGGTGGCCACCTCAGGCCGGAGCTGTTCGATGAGAACCTGCCACCGAACACCCCGCTCAAACGGGGAGAAGCGCCAGGGAAACGCAAGTCCCTGGGGACCCCAGCTCCAACAGTGCTGAAGAAGGCCGTGAAGGTGAGTCAGCCCGGTGTCCTTGCTCGGAGCTCACTCAGCACACAGTCTTTCCAGCGGCCCACACCAGCAGACAATGGTGTCAAAAACAACTGCAGCCAAGCCACTACCATTCGGTGGGTTCTGACTCCCGGTGAGACGTCCCAGGGCGGTAGGTCTTTGCTGGAGCAGATAGCCCATCTTTCTCCCTGAGAGGCTGGTGGGTTTGAGCCCTCCAGCCCTTGCCCGACAGTGCCACCAGGCCTCCTGCAAGTTACACAGGACATCAAAGCGAGAACGAGGACCTGATTAGGACAGGCCCAGGCCAGCCGGCCACACTCCACATGTCCTGCCCTGAGGCTACAGAGGAAACTGCCAGGGGCAGGCCCACTGAAGGCACCCACCGTGACACGGCTCTCCTTGATGTTAAAGCACTTGGGCGAGGCCGAGGGCCCTTAGCTGCTGTGGGAAGAGGGAATCCTTGGGCGGCAGCACGGGGAGCTTGGGCACCATCAGCTGCTCGGACTTTCCTCCCATGCACCTGGACGGTGAGGTCCCTGCAAGCTCAATGTCCTTAGGAAAAGAAGTGCTGAATGCTGGGCAGTGTCATTTATGGGGAATTTCATCCTGGTGGGGCCAGCGCTGTGACCCTCAGCCAGGAAGTTCTTCCCATTGTCTCCCTGAAATTTCTCCATTAGGGCTTCCTGGCAGCTTTGTCCTTCCTCCCTGTCACCTTAGATGAGTGGCCAGGACTCGCACCCTCCTCTTCGACTAGCAGCCCTTGGACAGGTGGCTGAAACACTGGCTTTGTGTCAAAGCTGTGGCCCTTTATCAGCAGGGCTCGGATGTTCTGGGTAGAGACAGGCAGTGGTCGTGAGGTTTCTTATGAACACATCTGTGGCAGGAACAGTCCCCAGCACCAAGGAAACCAGAGGCTTCTCCCAGTGTCCTTGTGGAAGTGGAGTCGGCATCCACCTACGATGTCAGCCAACCACACCGGCTCCACACGCCCCGGAGGAGAAGCAGCAAAGGGTCGGCCAGGCGGAAGTCTGTGGATAAAAACACCCTGAAAATCATTTACCCCAAGAGGAGGAGCGGGACTCCTAAGGGGACGTTTTCCAGTACGTTTCCGATTTGCCTGTTAATTCGTAAGAGCATTTTCTCAGCCACGCGCTCATCTCCAGTGTCTCACCATGTTCTCCTGTGGACAGGGGGCAGGTCATGGGCAGACATCGTCAAACTGGGCACCAAGAAGCAGGACACAAAGCTTGTGAAACAGAATTCCCAGAAGCACAGGAGTAAGAAGCCGAGACAGAATGCCGCGGTGCAGGTACGTAGGGCGATGTGTGCAGCATGAACGCTCCCCCACACCAAGTGCCCTTCCTCTGTTGCCCGGGGACTCAGGCTGTGAAGGGCTGTTGGTTTTATCTTCTCTACAGAAGCCTCCAGACCACGTTGAAAACCCTTTTAGCACGGGCCACGCCAACTCCCCCTGCACCATTGTCATCGGGCGCGCGCACATCGACAGAGTCAGCGCCCCCGCTCGGCCCTACAGGATGCTAAACCACCTGGTTCTGCACAAAACCAGCAACTTGACTGAAGATTTTTCAGGTAAAAGCACAGCTTTAGCTCTTGGAAGACCCCTCCGGGCTCTCTATCTGTGTCTCGGGCAGGGTACAGGTGGCCCCGTGTGCATCCAGCAAGCCCGCTGGGACCAATTCCCCGCCACGTCTGGGTCTTTCTCACAGCATCTCACTTTGCCACGCCTCCTGGACGGCAGGACAGTGTGAACTCATGGTCAGCTGCCCTGGGCTACCTCCAGCCCTTGCCCGACAGTGCCACCAGGCCTCCTGCAAGTTACACAGGACATCAAAGCGAGAACAAGGACCTGATTAGGACAGGCCCAGGCCAGCCGGCCACACTCCACATGTCCTGCCCTGAGGCTACAGAGGAAACTGCCAGGGGCAGGCCCACTGAAGGCACCCACCGTGACACGGCTCTTCATGGCAGTGGGCTGGGACTGAAACCCCGGCGTCTCCGCCCTCTTCCTGCCCTGCGCTCAGGGCTGTGAGCGGGACCCATTTCGTCCACTTTACCAGCTCATTGTGCCCAAGGGAGAGAGGCGGTGTGGAGTACTCCAAACCGGCATGTTCTTAGGGTCCCACGTTCCATGAGAAGTGGGGGCAGACGGCCCAGTGGAAGTCTGAGCTCTCTGGAGCAGCACCCATCGAAGCAGGCTGTGTGGCAGCACCACGCTGTGACTGCCCCATCCCCTGGTAGACACAAGCTGTCCCGCTGGACTGCTTTACCCCACTGGGGCTCCTTTCTGCACTAGAGTCAGAATCTGATACGTCCGTTCCAACTTACCTGCAAACCTGACAGAGACGCTTAGGGAAGCGCCTCCCTCGTGCCAGCCACGGGCTGCAGATGATTCGTGGAGCCTCCCTCCTCTGCGTCTAGGAGCGATGTGCTATTTATTTTCCATCGTGTGGTATTGTGCTGTGGTTCACACGCATGCATACATAGCCGCTAATCGCATTTCAAATATCTTTGTGTAACAGGGTTGACAGAAATGTTCAAGACTCCAGGGAAAGAAAAGCCACAGGGAAGCAGCATGTGCCCCCGCAGCTCCCGAAGCTCAGAGGCAATCTTTGAAGAAGGAAACTTGAGAGAAATGCCCCCAATGCTGGGTTAGTTTACTTAAAAAAAAAATACATTTCTTCACAGTACATTTTCAAACTTGATCTTCGAGGTGGTATTATTTCTTTACAATAATATGTCTTTACTACAGATGCTCCGCATAAAGTACCACTTGCAACAAAGCAGGGAGCAGAGGTTGAAGACATCTCCCAAAAATCGTCAGAGCACAAACCTGAACCAGGAGCATCTCTGATAGCCTTGAAGACGTGGCCACCAGACCCTGCTGGAGGCCTAGCCCGGTGGGAAGACCTGGGCAGCATGGAAGATCAGGTGTCCACCGCAAAATCCCCACGGGAATCACTAAGTGGTGACCTCCACAGAGAGATTCAGAGCGTTAGGAAATGTACGCCCAAATCTCAAGCAACTCCGCGGACATCCCCAAGACTGTCAAGAGACCCTAGTACAAGCCCTGCCGCTGTGGAAGACCCGGCCGGTGAGAAAGAGCAAGCAGCAGCCCAGGGATCATCACGGAAATCAGCGAGAGGCGATACGCATAGAAAAACTCCCAAACGCACATCAGTCTCAGGAGGAACACCAAGGATGTCCCCGAGACCCTTGAGAAGCCTTGGTGTGAGCCCGGAAGTGGTGGGAGAGGTGTCTGAAATGAAAGGCCATATGCAAACACCGGAAAGTGAAGGGCAGCCAGGACATGAGGAAGAAGTCCCCCTGGAGCTTCAGAAAGCTCCAGGACAGACACCAAGGATGTCCCTGAGACTGTGCAGAAGCCTGGCTGCGAGCCCAGAGTGTGGGGAAGACCTGTCCGGAGTGAACGAGTGCACGCCAACACCAGGCTCGCCAGTGCAGCCAAATAATAATGCTGTCAGAGTGGCCCAAAGCCCTCCAAAACGCACACCAGAGTCAGGACGAACACCCCGGGTGACCCCGAGACTGCTGAGAAGCCTTGGTGCGAGCCCAAAGGTTGAGGAAGACCTGTCTGAAGCAACAGATTCTATGCCATTCCTGGAAACACCTGGGGAACCAATAAGTGATGGAGTGCCCCTAGAGACTCAGAAAACTCCATTGCAAACACCAAGGTCAGAGCAAACACCAAGGATGTCCTTGAGACTGTGCAGAAGCCTGGGTGCGAGCCCAGAGTGTGGGGAAGACCTGTCCGGAATGAAAGATCGCATACCAACACCAGAATCGCCAGTGGAGCCAAATACTAATGCTGTCAGAGTGGCCCAAAGCCCTCCAAAACGCACACCAGAGTCAGGACGAACACCCCGGGTGACCCCGAGACTGCTGAGAAGCCTTGGTGCGAGCCCAAAGGTTGAGGAAGACCTGTCAGAAGCAACAGAGCACGTGCCATCCCTGGAAACACCAGGGGAGCCAACAACTGCTGATGTCCACTTGGAGATTAAGAAAACTGGAAAACACCCCCCAATATCAGGAGAGACACCGAAGAGGAACCCCAAGAGCGCAAGCCCAGAGGCTGGGGGAGATCTGGCCACCATGAGAACGCCTGCGCCCACACCTGGATCACCAAGGGAGCCGATAAGTGATGCAGAAGTACACCCAGAGGCTCGGCAAACTCCAAAACTCACACCCAAATCAAAAGGGACTCCGAGAATGTCCTTGAGACGGCAGAGAAGCCTGCGTGCAAGTCCAGAGGTTGGGGAAGACCTGTCCAAAATAGATCTCATGCCCACACCAGAATCAGCAGGCGAGTCGAATGGTGATGTTACTAGAATGGTTCTGGGAACTCCAAAACCCACACCAGAGTCAGGAGGGACCCCTAGAATGACCCCTAGACTTGTGAGAAGCCTTGGGGTAAGTCCGGAGGTCACGGAAGACCTGTCTGGCGTAAACGATCATCTGCCAGCACTGGAGACACCAGGGGAGCCACTGAGTGAGGAAGAAATCCCCCTAGAAGTTCAGGAAACGCCAAGGCGCTCAGGGAAATCGGGAAGAACAAGAATATCCCCGCGCCTTCCGAGAAACTCTAGTGCAAGCCCAGAGGTCATGGAAGACCTGTCCACAATAAAAGGCCATGTGCCAACACCACCGTCACCAGGAGAGTCCACTCGTGACGGAGTCCACCTAGAGATTCAGAAAACCCCAAGACGCATAGCAAAGTCGGGACCCACGCCAAGGACGTCCCTGCGGCTTCTGAGAAACTCCAGTGCAAGCCTGGAGGCCGCGGAAGACCTGCCTGGAATGAAGGACTGTACGCCAGCATTGTCTTCACCGGGGGCGCCGAGTGATCGGAAAATGCACAGAGGGAGTCCGCAAACGCCAGAACACGCACCGGGGTCAGGAGGTGCACCACGGGTGTCCTCAAGACTGCTGAGAAGCCTTGGTGGACGCCCAGAAATGGAGCACTTCCCCGGAATGGAGGGTCATCTGCGAGCACCAGAATCACCAGGGGAATCTGTTAGTGAGGAAGTCCATCTAGAGATTCAGGATGTTGGGAAAAATACCCCGAAGCCAAGAGAAATGTCAAGAATGTCCCTGAATGCCCGCAAAGGTGCTAGTGCCAGCCCACAGGTCGTAGAAGACCTGTCCAGAATGAAGGGAGACATGCCAACATCCACATCGCCAAGGGGGCAGAGTGCTGATGCTGTGACAATGGTGCAGAGAACTCCAGCGCTCACCCGCAGGTCAAGAGGGACACCCAGAACGACCCCAAGACAGCTGAGAGACCCTCATGCAAGCCCAGAGGTTGGGGAGGACCTGTCCAGAATGAATGACCACACAGCCGCACTGAAGCCACCAGGAGAGCCAGTAAGTGACAAAGGCACCCACCTTGAGGCTCAGCAAACTCCAAAACCCACACCCAGGTCGGCGAGGACACCCAGAATGTCCCTGAGACTGCAGAGAAGCCTGGGTGCAAGGTCGGAGGTCGGAGAAGGCCCGCCCCACATCAGTGGCCATTTGCCAACACCGCGGTCAGCAGGACAGGCAATACGCATCGAAGAAACCCCCCAAGGCACTCGGGAAACTCCAGAGCGCATGCCAAAGGCAGGCGGACTGCCACGCATGTCCCCGCAAGTGTCCCCTGGCGCAGGCCCAGAGGCCGTGGGAGACCCATCCAGCATAACTGATGAGATGCCCACAGCAGAATTACCAGAGGAGCTCAGTGGTGATGTGACTAGAAGGGGTCAGAGGACTCCCAAACTCTCACCAAAGTCAGGAGGGACACCCAGGCTGTCCCTGCGACACCCGAGAAGCCTTGCTGCAAGCCCACAGGTTGGGGACGTGGTGTCTGAAACGAGTGCCCCTGCACCAACACCGGTATCATCCGAGCACTCAGTCCGTGATGGAGAAATCTGCCAAGAGATTCAGAAAACTCCAAAACGCACGCCCAAGTCAAGAGGGACACCCAGACTGCCGAGAGACCGTCCTGCGGATCCAGAGTTTGAGGAAGATCTGCCGAGACAGAAAGGTCACAAGCCAACACCTCAATCACCTGGGGAGCTAATAAGTGATGGAGAAATCCACCTAGAGGCTCAGCCAGAGCTCACGCCAATGCCAGGCAACACACCAAGGATGTCTCTGAGGCTCCGGGGAAGCCTTGGTGGTAGCCCGGAGCTCAGGAAGTCCCTGTCTGAAATGAACGATCCCGTGGCAACAGCAGAATTGGCAGGCGAGTCGAGTGGTGACCCTACTAGAATAGTGCAGAGAACTCCAAAACTCACACCACAGTCAGGAGCAACCTCCACTCTGCTGAGAAGCCCGTGTGTAAGCTCAGAATTGGAAGGCCTGCCCAGAAGGAATGATCACATGCCAACACCGGAGCCACCTGCGCAATCAATAAGTGATGGAGAGGTTCACATGGACATTCAGAAAACCCCAAGGGACACACCCAAGTCCAGGGGAACACCAAGAATGTCCCCAAGAGTGTGGGAGGACCCTAATGCAAACCCAGAGGTGGGGGACAACCTTGCTAGCGTGAGTGAGCATACGCCAACATCCAAAGAGCCAGCTGACCCCACAAAACATGAGCCAGACTCCTTAGCAAGCCCAACGGGCAAGTCACTGCAGAGATCGTCATGGAAGAGCGAGCCAGAGCCAAGGGAAACCCTGACGTTGACGCTCTCCCACACTCCACCTGAAACTTTGCAACCCGAACCCCAGGCAGTCGAGAAACTGGGCACCACACCCAGAAAGGGGCCAGAGCGCCTGAGGGGGTTCACAAAGCAGCCCAGAAGTTCTACCAATCAATCAGCCCCAGCAGCAGAGCCAGCCACTGTCAAGACCCGCCTGAGAGCCAGATACCATCCTTACGACCGGGTGGGAAGCCAGAGAGGCCTGAGGAGTCTTAAGAAAACCCCGAGCACACACCCAGGAGAAGAAAGTGCCGTGTTCCCGAAAGAAGATGATGCCGATCTTATCGCCACTGCCCAGCGCTCACAAGGACGCCCTCCCAGCAGAGAAGTTCCCGGGGAAGACTCGGGGCTGCAGAGGTTAGCGGACACCTGCGTGGAAGCGAAGGTAAGTTGCCATCTTGGCCACCTTCAGGCCAGTCTGTTTGCAGCTTTTGTGTCTTGCTTGGTAAGGCTGTCGCATTCCTTCAGAACCGGCTATCCTTGTTTGGAAGGGTCTGCACTCAGGAAGTAACGACGATCGTAAAATCATGCCACGATTCCTATTTTAGAAAAACTGCTGGCCTGGACAGTATTGTAAGAAGTTTCTCAAGGCGGGAAAGAAGGGTCTTCACCTTGCAATAGATGAGAATTTGTTTTAGGGAAAGGGGGTGGGTCAGTCCTGGTCTCCCTCAATCCTTCCCCGGACCATGGTGCGGGAGTCATCTGACAGAGGCCAGTCCTGTGTCGGTGGGTTAGGTGGCTGGGTTCGTTGTGACCCTCCTTACAGCAGACTGAAATGCCACCCTGCCCCTACCATCCTCAGAGTGGTTACGCATGAGCCCATTGTTCTGGCCCTTGGGCCATTCTGTCTCGCAGAGGGTCTTCCTCTTGGTTGCTGGCCCTCTTTCCCAGGGAGTGGTCTCCCCAAAGTCCAGGAAACCATGCCTGGCCATCCCCACTTCTGAGGAGCACGCTGACTCCTTCCTTCAAGACAGACCGACTCGTTCTAGAATAGACGTGGGACTGCCTGATCAAGAACCGGGTCAGCTTAAACAGAAAAGGCCTTATTGAGGTGGAGAGACACTGGCTGCAACAATGAGCTCAACTCGCTGTGACTTGGGGCCGGGTGGGGTTTTCATTCGGCTGTAAGAGGGTGACTGGGTGGGAGTCATCTGACAAGGGTGTGCTTGGGAAAACCTCCCCGGCACTCTGCTGAGGGGTCAGGCTGGACTGCCCTGTTTGGCTTCGGAGGTGATTTTTAGACGATCGGACGTGAATTGACTGCCTGTCTGTCTAATGGGGCGTTTTATTCCCCTGAAATGGTTCAAGTCAGATTTGATTGTGTGACACGCTGTGCTGGAAACTATGCTGGAGTTCCTACTTGTGCCTTTCAACGGCCAGTGCTATTGAAATTCCGACTCCTGGTGCCACCCCCATGGGGGCGGGGGCGGGGTGTCATTCCTCTGGTATCCAGGAGCGGGTTTCCTGCAGGTGCCTCTGAGCTTGAGCTGGGCCCGCTGATCTTCAGCTTGGATTCTTTATTTTGGGTTCACGATGGGCATTTTATGGGTAGCTTCTGATTTCTTTCTTCTTCTTTTTCTTTTTTTTTTAGGGTAGGCCAGGAGTCAGGGGAGAGCAGGCCACTTCTTCAAGTCTTTGTGAAGAAGGTGAGTAGAAACCCTGTTGCTGTGCCGTGCTTCCAACACCCATCACTGCAGATTGGAAAAACTTAGGACTGTGTGTGTGCACGCCTGTTTATTTCGAGTCACTGAAAAGTCTAAAGCATCGATTGTGGTTGTCCTGTGTTCCTGATTGTGGGCTACACCTCTGTCTGCTCCACTGTGTAGGCTTATCTGCCGTGTTCACCTTCGCTGAGTGACTGATCGCTGGAGTGGGAAGATGGGACCTGGTGCCCGCTCGAGGCTCTGTGGGAAGCTGATGCTATAATCTATGTCTGTAACAGGCAGATTCAGACACACATGTCCCTTTATGTTACAGAACCCCAGGCTAATGCCTCTGAAAAAGTGCAGCCCGCGACCATGGAAGACCATCGTGTGCCTCAAGGGACAAGGTGCCTCCGCAGGAACAGGAGGGGCAGAGAGCCCCAGGAATCTGAGCACCCCCCTAATCAGTCAGAGAACGTGGAAGCAGAGATGGGTGTAAAGACGGCAGAGCCCAGCGCCCCAGCAAAGCTACGTCAGGGGACAAGGTGCCCCCGCAGAAACAAGAGGGGCGGAGAGCCCCAGGAATCTGCGCACCCCCCTCAGCAGTCAGAGAACGTGGAAGCAG